CCCCCAAAACCCCAAAACCCCAAAACCCCTTATTTTTTACCCAAAATTGAAATTTAAAATAAAAATCACAAATCCCCCAAACTCCTCTCCAAATCCCATGAACCCCTCTCTCTCCACCTCTCCATGCCCTCCAAAGTACTCTCCTCCCCTTCCTTCTCCCACCCTCTCACCCTCCTCCAGAACAATTCCCAAAATCTCCATTCCCCTATTCAAACTACACCTCAAACCTGTAAGTCCCCAACCAAAACCCCTCACCCATACTTCCCCTCCAGTTATCCAAGAAGTTGAGCCAATGAACATAAACTATTAGGTTAATGTGCTTTATAGGGGTTTACAAGATCAGGAAAGTGAGATGTTAAGTTGGATATTGAGAGAAGGATCAGTGGCAATTTCATCAAGAATGCGATTAATACAAGCTTTAATGATATCAAAAATACTGGGAGGTAAACTTTCGATAGATTAGCTAAGTTATTGCTAAAATTGACAGTTATAAATCACTTATTCCTATAGTATAAAAAGGAGCAAGCAAAATCACACTAATTTGTAAAATCATTCTTAAATTTTTAGACTCAAGTCAAAACAAAACATGAAATTTATAAAGAATAGGTCCTCCATGTGAGCTAATAAATGGATAAAGAACCCTACGTGCATATACAGAGGTAAATACAACTCAATATCAATAGGTCATCGACCAGAATCAAATATGAGAAGAAATACAAAGAAACTTCTCACAAAACTCAGGTCAGAAAGCAGTCAAGAATTCTGTAATTTTATTCTTAAACTTTAGTATTTCGTGAATCCAGAACCCCACTAAGGAGTCATTGAAGAGGAAATAGGGCTAAATAACAGAAAGAGTTGCAAAAAGTTTAACAGAACAGTGAGTAATCATCCTCCTCGGACAGTAAATATGTCATGAGACTCTAGGTAAAATCATCACTGTTCTTTGAATGTCAGAGATATCTGGTCAAGAATAAGGGAACTGATTCTAAAATTAATGGGATCAACAAAAAGTTGGAATACATCAGTTTCTTGAAGAGAAAAGTTCAAGATGATTTCGGTAAGAAAAGGATGGAAATCGAGAAGCATATGAAAATCCCCCCAAAAAGCTAAACTCTGAGATATTCAATTTTGTCTAAAATAAATGGGGTTTTGGGGTTTTGGGGTTTTGGGGTTTTGGGGTTTTGGGGTTTTGGGG